CACGCATACACGCCTGGGCACGCGCCTGCGCGCACACGCACGCATACACGCCTGGGCACGCGCCTGCGCGCACACGCACGCATACACGCCTGGGCACGCGCCTGCACGCACACGCACGCGCACACACACACACACATGCACGCACACACCTTACCGCAGACAAAACAGTCACCCGGCCGAGCGCCAGCCCGGGGTCATCCAAACAAGACGTCCAAGTTATCTTTATTTTATTTTCTTCCAGAAAACCAAAGGAGTTGACCCACAGCACCCACAGCTCCAGCACACAGCGGACCGTCACTTAACACCTGCTTTCTGTTCAACCCTATAAAATCTCCATACGAAGCTTGCAATGATAATAAAGGAAAATAAGCATTTTGTTACAGGTACTTCAAATAGCACTACAGTACATCTCTGACAAAATTTTTACAATATTCCAACTTTCAATATGAAACAGCTTAAATAGGCACGGGCCAAAGAAAAGCGTATCACTTAGGCAAACAAAGTCCCATAGTCACACAAACATAACACTCGGCTGCCCCTGTCCAGGCCAGGACGGGAGTAAGACAGGTTCTTGGAATAAAATTATATAAATAGCTTAGGAAAATGCCAAAATCTGTAACTTCTGATACACGAAGCAAATAATTCTTCAGCTTTTATTCTCGGAAAAATATGAACTAGTGATTCTTTGCCCTTATGTAACAGATGTATTCTTGGAGAATTTTGTGCAAAGCAAACACTGTTAACCATGTCTTGCTCATACTGGAGAAACATCTCAAAGAAACAGGGAAATTAAAACATGTGATTTTCCTGTCTTAACTAAATGCCTCTCCTAAAAAAACAAAACAAAAACCCAGGTATTTGTACATCATTTGGGCAATTTAGTCATACTGTCATATTTCTACTCTATAAATGAAACCCAACTTACTTAAAAAACCACTTGTAATAAAGCAAGCAGACCAAACCCTTCCTCTTCCCTCCCCCCCGCCCCCTTCACAAGACAGTTCTCAGAACATGATGCAAACGTACAATCATCCACTTACTCAAATCTCAATGGAGGGTTTCCCCCCCAGACTGAAGTATGCTGTTCTCTTCACGTTACAAACACAATGGTAAACTTTTTTATTGCTAAGAAGTCATTCTTGAAGATTTCTTAAAGTATGGCAAACAGGAAGTTCGATTGTGTGATTATGAAAAAAGTCTCTTAGGATTAAACGTTTTCCAGATCATGACCATTCTATTAAGAAAAATGATACCTTGGACTCTATAAGCATCTAATTCCTACACTGGGATGATTACCTTATTAATGAAAATAAAAATGCTGTATGGATCAAATAAACTCTTTAGCATCTTGCGATAACACGAGGAATGAAACCTAAAACTAGATAATTCATGCCCTTCTCTGTAGGATAGGCTTAGGTAAGTCAAAATGCTCCCAAGGAAAGCAAAGGCTTACAGAAACGCCATTTTCTAGGCAGGCTTGTCTATGCCTTGGCTCCCAACCAGTAAGCAAACAGATGAACTGCAAAGTTTTCCTCCAAAAAGTAGAACTGCAAACACATTTTCAAGACAATTATGACACTTAGAAAACACTCCTGGTAAGAACTATGGGAAATGGGTGTGAGCGCAAATTAGCCTCTCTCCTACTTTTACATTCTTTTGGGAAGGCAACAGCAACCCTGACAAAAAAGAAAGAAGAAAAACAAAAAATCACCTGGTAGATCACTGGTAACACAGCCAGTCCCAAGCCCAGCTTTGAAAAGACCAGTGCAAATAGTTCTACTCTTCATATGTATCGCTATGACTTTTAAACTTACGGAGAAAAAAGAAGTCTGGCGATAAAACTTGAGCCACAGATGAAAGTTAGGCTCCCGTGTAAGAGAAAGCGCAGTGGCCTGGCGCAGCTCATCTGCAGCACGCACATCCGCAGGGAGGCGGGTGGCTCGAGGAGTCAGACAAGGCTGAGCGGCTCCAACACCACGGGCTTCCAACAGAGCCAAAGTATGCTTATAGTATGAAAACAAATGCTTAATGACACCAAACCATACCCTTCCCTCTACGATTTCAACTGTGATTCCTAAAACACTATTTTCTCTAGCTACCTTACTCTTACTACGCAGGGCAGATGACTGCCTGTGAAATCAATCTAATGCCGGCCTTCTGAGAGGCCAGCGCGAGTGTGCACGCTGGGCAGGAGTCTCCAGTTACACAACTGGATCTCCGGCAGCTACCTTCTCCTGTGAGCGTTCTTTAAAGTGTGTGAGCTGGTGTCTCTTCCAGTGTGGAGCTTGTCTGAACCTTTTGCCACAAACTGAGCATTCAAATGGCTTCTCCCCCGCGTGGATGAGATAGTGTCTCTCGAGTTTGGATGGAGAGCGGAAGCTCTTGCAGCACACACTGCACGGGTACAGGAGACCATCGTTTTTCTCAGGGTAGCCTGGGTAGCCACTGAAGTGACCCTGCTCGGCTCCCAGCAGCGCACTGGGGAGGAAAGGCCGCTCACCCCCACCATACGCACCCAACATGAAATCCTCCGTTTCTGGCTTCACTCCCATCTCTGATAACTGATTCGACTGCGAAACCTCGTATTTCTGAAAACCAAAAGCCTGATGTTGAGAAGCATTATAGCTGTCACCACTTGGCGGGATAAAACTGTTCACATTTTCAAAGTCTAGCTGGTAAAATGATCTTCTATAGAGATTCTTTTCAATATGAGTTTCTTGATGTCTTTTTAAGTGAGCAGACTGTCTGAAAGATTTCCCACAAACATTACAGCCAAAAGGCCTCTGTCCGGTATGGATTAAGTAGTGTCTCTGTAGCTTAGAGAGAGAAGGAAAGGCTTTCTCACATTTATCACAGGGGTAGATCTTATGTCCAGTCAGTATGTTCTCACTTGGAACTGGGAAACCACAATGCTGGAACACTTGACAGTTATTGAAGAACCCCTCACCTGATGAACCATAGGTTGGCAGGTCTCTGTTAGTCGCAGTGCTGTCCACAGCTAACCGGCTCTCTGAGGATGTAAGGATATCTTTCAAACTTTTCCCCCTATTCTGACTCTGGAACTGCTTTTGCCAAGAAAATGGCAACGTCGGTGTTTTCTTCTTCTTACTGCCAATTCGCTTATACGATCCCTGCTTTCCAGAACCCAGAGTTCTTCTCTTAGTTTGTTCAGAATTCTGCTGACTAGACTGGCGACAATTTTTCAACAAACTACTTTTAAATGCTTTTCTCTCTGACCGACAGTTACCTATTTTTTTACCCCCCGCACGTTTAAGCTTAGCCAAGATTTTTTTTACAATGATTTTATAGTTGTAAGGTTTTTTGAGCCTGCTCGGGGTTTTGCTGCCACCTCTGGCAGGAAAACACTTGTGTCCTTTGAGAATCTGCTCGGATTCAAAGCATTCTTCACACTCGGAACACTGGAAAGGGACGATATAAATAGAGTGGACATCAGGTGGGTTATTCACCTCAGATTCGCCCACACCACCATTTTCAAAGCTTTCCTGATTTATATTTAACATGTGGGGCAGGAAGTATGACTCTGAGCTCCTCAACTTTGATGCAAGTGCCTGAAAAGTCTTGCTCTTAGTATGGATTTGTTTATGCTTCAGAAGTTTGCTTTGAACCTTAAATCCTTTTTGACAGAAACAACACTGAAAAGGTCTTTCTTCTGAATGGGTGAGCTGGTGGATTTTTAAATGACCTGACTGCCGGAAAGACTTACTGCACAGGAGGCATTTAAAAGGCTTCTGCCCAGTATGAATAAGTGAATGCCTATCAAGTTTTGACTGTGACGGAAATATCTTGCCACAGATGGCGCACGCATGAACATTCTTCCTTCTTTTCCCAGTGCTGTATGCGGGATCAGATTTGGCGCATGGTGTTAAGGCCCATCTGTCCTCTGGGGGTAAAGTCCCAAACACACCACTCGCTGGCTTTTCCTGTTTGGCCTCCATCAATCTTCGGGCCTGCTTGACATCATTCTGATAGGTCTCACTGTGACGCTGTTGGTGCTTCATAAATGTCTTCAGATGTTTAAAGTGGCGCTGACAAATGCTACATTTAAAAGGCATATTGTGAGTTAACTGATGCCGCTCCAGGTGAACTAGTTGCCTGAAGGTCTTATGACACACATCACATTCAAATGGCTTTTGACCAGTATGAATGAGATAATGCCTACCTAATTTCGATGGTGTTTCAAAGTGCTTGAAGCAAATATTGCAAATGTATGGCTTGCTTCTAGGGAGTTTGCTGGCTGCTACACACTGCTGAACCTTTAGCACTTTTAGGCTGTTGTCGGCCATCATACTCTTCAGGAACACACTTGCACGAGCTTCATGGTGTTCTCAATGCCGTGCAGGTCTAAAAGGTAAACAAAAAATGGTTACTTTTGGGGGGTCTGGTCCTGGGGCTTGAACGCTGTCCCTCAGCTTTTCTGCTCAAGGCTGGCACTCTACCACTTGAGCCACAGCTCTACTTCTGGCTTTTCTGGTGGTTAATTGGAAATAAAGAGTCTCACAGACTTTCCTGCCCTGGCTGGCTTCAAACTCTGATCCTCAGCCTCCTGAGTAGCTAGAATTACAAACATGAGCCACTGGCATCTGGCAAAAAAAAAAAAAAAAAAAGAAAAGAAAAAAGAAAGACAAAGCACCACTGTGTCCTTTGAGAATCTGCTCTGATTCAAAGCATTCTTCACACTCGGAACACTGAGAAGGGATGGTATCAATAGAGTCAACGTCAGGTGAGTTATTCGCCTCAGATTCACCCACACCACCACTTCAAAGCCTTCCTGCTTTTCATTTAATGTAAAAATTATTTCTTCATATGGAAATAATTTAATTTGTTCTTTAGCTGAAGACACTAAGGACAATAAAATTTGGGCAATTTTGCTTACAAGTAAACTAATAATCACTTTAGATGAACTCTTTAGAATCATAAAACTAATTTCACACAGAAATAGGATTCTCTAGAAGAAATATCTAAAGCTGTATAGCTTTAAGCTCTTTTCTACTTAAGAAGCTACATTAAAATCACACTAGGAATTCCCTAATATTAAATACATCTTTCCTATTTCATTACTAAATTTGTCAATGGTTTTGTCATTATAAACGTTTAGGGCTGAGAAGGTGGCTCCGTGGTAGAGTGCTTGCCTTGCATGCGTGAGGTCCTAGGTTCTATTTCTCAGCACCACATAAGCAGAAAAAGCCGGAGGTGGCACTGTGGCTCAAGTGATAGAGTGCTAGCTGAGCTGAAGAGCTGAGGGACAGCGCCCAGGCCCAGAGTTCAGGCTCCACAACCGACCAAAAAAAAAAAAAAAAAAGACACATGAGTTAAAACATGTGTCTGCCCTTAGTTACAGCACATACTGTACATATACTCATATACTCTTCATCATAATGTTTCCATTTCCTTAAGTTTTTTTTTTAAGCAAAATAAATAATTGCTTTCAATTACTTTCTTTTTTGGCGGGGAGTGCGGGGGGGGGGGGGGCCGGCAGGGGGGCCTGAACTCTGGGCCTGGGCGCTGTCCCTCAGCTCTTCAGCTCAAGGCTAGTGCTCTACCACTTGAGCCACAATGCCACTTCCAGCCTTTTTTTTTTCTGCTTATGTGGTGCTGAGGAATCGAACCCAGGGCCTTATGCATGCAAGGCAAGCACTCTACCACTGAGCTACCTTCCCAGCCCCTTCAATTATTTTAGATCAGCAAGGATGACTGGGAAAAAGATTCCAAGGCATGGTGTTAGTCCTGGACTTGTTACTCTGTTCTTGGTGACAATATGAAGGAAATGAGATTCTTTTAACAGCGGAGCTATCTCCTAAACTGTCTCCATGGCAAACTGCTGTGCAAATCAGGGCAGAAAAATCGTGAAGAATTACGAGCCAAGTATTACTTAGCTCAATATTGATCAAACTTAAATTTTTTTTATTTCTAGCTGGACACTGGGGCTCACACCTGTAATCCAAGCTACTCAGGAGGCTGATACTGAGGGTCATGGTTCAAAGCCAATCTAGGCAGGAAAGCTGTGAGACTCTTACTTCCAATAAACTACCAAAAAAAGCTGGAAGTGAGCTGTGGCTCAAGTGGTAAAGGGTTACCTTCAGAGATAGCACCCAGGCCCTGAGTTCAAGCACCAGGACTGGCAATAAAATAAAATTTCTATCTCCTTGATTACATTTTTTGGCTTTCTAACTGATATAAACCTATTTGTTTATAGTTTTATTTCGTTTTACTGTGTTGTACATTCCAATAGTACAGAAAGATGAAGCTGACAAATTGTATTGTTATATACTGACTTATGAATAACTTATTATAAATAATGTTGAGTCCACTATTCAAACATCACTAAATTAATCATTTTGGTCTTAGTTAACATGAGACCAGGTACCATAGCTCATACCTATAATCCTTGCTACTCAAGAGGCTGAGATCTGAGGACCATAATTGGAAGCCAGCCTAGGAAGGAAACTCATTGCCACTAAACTTTTTTTTTTTTTGCCAGCCTTGGGGCTTGAACTCAGGGCCTGGACACTGTCCCTGAGTTTCTTTTGCTCAAGGCTAGCACTCTACCACTTGAGCTACTGCACCACTCCCAGCCTTTTCCATTTATATGGTACTGAGGACTGAAACCCAAGTCTTCATGCGTGCTAGGAAAGCACTCTACCACTAGGCCATATTCCCAGCCACTCCATGAAACTTATTAACCACCAGAAAGCCAGAAGTGGAACTGTGGCTCAATTGGTAGGGCACTAACTTTGAGCAAAAATATCAGAGACAATGAATAGGCCCTGAGTTCAAGAACAGGCCCTGAGGTCAAGATCCAGGGAGCTGGGTGCAGGGGGAGAGGATGACATGGGAGGGAGGGGACTGGGACGGATGGACAGACGGACAGACGGACGGACTTGAACATGAAGACAGACACGTCATCCATAGCACATGCGAAAGTTCAACAGAGTTTCACAACTACCTTCTCTCTCTCTCTCTCTCTTTTTTGTTGGTCACGGGGCTTGAACTCTGGGCCTAGGCTCTGTCGCTCAGCTCTTCAGCTTAAGGCTAGTGCTCTATCACTGGAGCCACAGCGCCACTTCCGGTTTCCTGGTGGCTAACTGGAGATAAAGAGTCTCATAGATGTTCCTGCACAGGCTGGTTTTGAACCATGATCCTCGGATCTCAGCCTCCTGAGTAGCTAGGATTACAGGGATGAGCCAGCAGTGCATGGCACTACCTTCTGTTTTATCAAAGAATCTAATTTTCTTCTCTTACTGTATTATTTTAAGGAGTCAGAGATTAAAAGTATATATAATGCTACACTCTCTCAGCCTAATACTTGTACCTTCTATATGAGAGCAAAAACTACCTGAAACCCAAGAGTGCCTTGGTCAGCAGATCTGGCAAACAAGCCATGTATGTGCTGGTTATCATCTTCTACTAGAGGACAGAGTAAACACAGACTGGAGCCCAGGCACTGTTCCCATTTTCAGCAACTGGAGCTGGAAAAGTGTTTGTCACACTGTGGGTCACTACTCATTGTTCACACTGGGAGGCCAACTCAGTAGTTCTGTTTAATAAAACTGAGCGCAGAGTACCAGCACACACAGCACACAGCAAGGGTAGATGCTGCTTCTGTAGGAAGGTTAAGGTTCCTGACAGCTTTCCATGCATCACATCCTGTGGGGCCTCAGTGACTACTCAGCATGGCCACGGAATCGGCCTGGGTGACAAGAGTGCACTCACAGAAGGAGACGAGTATCAAGCAAGGCAATGCCTGCTTTTCTTTCCTTGGTCATTTTATTTTAAAATATTTAAATAACCGTCTAACTAGAGCCAAATGGGGGGGAAAAACCAATTATACAAATGTAAGAACGCATCGTGTAACAGCAGACACCAGCGACCTCAGCAAAACTCAGTCGCTGCTGCGATGAATCTGCCATGTTTACTACCCTGAGCTAGAGAAGTCATGGTGCACGTCCAAAATCCCAAACATGCTGACACAGAGCAAGAGTCGGAGGATTTAAATTAAGTCGTAAATCCAGTGAACTGCCAAGAACCCAGTAATTTATTTAATTCCTATTGGGCAACTCATTTAATTCCTGTTGAGCAATCAGGTGTCCAGGTGGGCAATCAGGAAAACCAGCCAAACAAACTCAAAGCAATCATCAAGCCTTTACTACGACAGGGTCTACAAGGGGCAAAGAGAAGCTTTGGTTCGCTGTGGCCTACTAAGCAGGATTCCAGGGGAGGGCCAAGTGGACACAGTGCACCAGAGGAAGCCTTGTGCAGAGAATCTTAATACCAGGCCCTTGCTTCCCGCAGGACTGTGGGCCAGGAGTAAAAGAAAGGAGCTGAGGCCAAGATGGAGAGCTGAGCAGTGAGGCTGCTGGGAAGGCCTCAGGCAGAGTCCCCGACAGCGGAGTATCCAGAGGCACCTAGGCCAGCAGGCCTGGCAAAATGAGGGCAGCCCTACTCCACCTCTCTCCAAGTGCGACGATGCCCTGGCCATGCATCCGGTCTCTAGGGAGGGCAGCTCTGCCCTTCCCCCAGGCTGGGCAGGCAAAGCCTACCAACTGCCGAAGGTCTGAACACAGGATGCAGATTGGAACTTCTACTTTCTTATTTGCATACTTCTTCCATTTAATAACCATTTCTGTGGAATGGGGGGGGGGGTTCCACTACACTCACACAGGGCAATGATCTCCACGGTAACAGGGATTGGCTACCATGTATACTCCTGGACAAAAGGTCTACAGTTGATTACTACTATCCCCAACACTTATTTTGTGTCACCTGCCTTTGCATCATGTGCTAGAGCATTTACCAAGAATCCCGCACTGTTGGGACCAGGGGTGGCACGCAGTGATCTCAGCTCCTATTTATAATTAAGAGGTCAGGGATTCCCACAGGCCAAGGGCACACCCATCCCTGGACTTACACATGGCGGCACGCACAGCTCTCTCTTACAGATTTTGTGTTCTCCCACTGGTTTTTGTTTTTTGGTCTGTAACAGCAAAAACAACAACAACAAAAAGCTAAGACTGCAATTGTTACATGAAGTTGAAATAAAAATAAGTGTGCTCAATGGTTCACCTCTGAATTTATGTTGACAAGATAAATTGAGAAGACCTTTGAGCTGGCCTCAATAAGGACACTGGCTTCAGATCTTAATACCCTTAAGAAGGCCCAAGGCTCAGGCCTGTAATCCTCCTACTCGGGAGACTGAGATTTGAGGATTGCAGCAGTTCAAAGCCAGCCCCAGGCGGGAAAGGCCTCGACTCTTATCTCTAGTTAACTGGAATGGAGCTGGGGCCCGAGTGACAGAGCGCCAGCCTTTACTGAAAAATCTCAGGGCCAGCAACCAGGCCCTGGGTTCAAGCACAGGAGCTGCAGAGAACCTGCCACACAGCCAGGTGCGTGCGCATGGAAAGCTGGGGAGCAGGTAAATCATCCAGGGTGGCCTTTGCCCCCTCCCCCGCCCCCGTTCTGGCCTTTGACCCCTATCTCCCTCCGGGCGTGACCTCACCAAACCAGCGCCACGGGCCGGCCGAAGGCACCACGAGCTTGGGTCGCAGGGAGGCCCGGCCAGGGAGGAGACAGGGAGGACCGGGAACCCCGATTCCAAGAGGCCCCAGACCCCGGTTCTGAGAGGACCCCAATTCTGAGGGGGCCCTGATTCCGAGGGACCCCGGTTCCGAGGGGCCCTGGTTCTGCGGGGACCCCGGTTCCGAGGGGACCCCGGTTCCGAGGAGCGCCGGTTCCGAGGGGCCCTGGTTCTGCGGGGACACCGGTTCCGAGGGGACCCCGGTTCCGAGGGACCCCGGTTCTGAGGGACCCCGGTTCCGAGGGGCGCCGGTTCCGAGAGGACCCCGGTTCTGAGGGGCCCGGTTCTGAGGTGACCCCGATTCCGGGGGACCCCGGTTCTGAGGGACCCCGGTTCCGAGGGGACCCCGGTTCTGAGGGGACCCCGGTTCTGAGGGGCCCCGATTCTGAGGGGACCCCGGTTCTGAGGGGCCCCGATTCTGAGGTGACCCCGATTCTGAGGGGACCCCAGTTCCGAGGGGACCCCGGTTCCGAGGGACCCCGGTTCTGAGGGGACCCCGGTTCCGAGGGGCCCCCGATTCTGAGGTGACCCCGGTTCCGAGGGTCCCTAGTTCCGAGGGGCCCCGGTTCCGAGGGGACCCCGGTTCTGAGGGACCCCGGTTCCGAGGGTCCCCAGTTCCGAGGGGACCCCGGTTCCGAGGGGACCCCGGTTCCGAGGGACCCCGGTTCCGAGGGGACCCCGGTTCCGAGGGGACCCGGGTTCCGGGGGACCCCGGTTCCGAGGGACCCCGGTTCTGAGGGGCCCCGATTCTGAGGTGACCCCGATTCCGAGGGGACCCCGGTTCTGAGGGGACCCCGGTTCTGAGGTGACCCCGGTTCTGAGGTGACCCCGATTCCGAGGGGACCCCGGTTCCGAGGGGCCCCCGATTCTGAGGTGACCCCGGTTCCGAGGGGACCCCGGTTCCGAGGGGACCCCGGTTCCGAGGGGACCCCGATTCCGGGGGCCCCCGATTCTGAGGTGACCCCGGTTCCGAGGGGACCCCGGTTCCGAGGTGACCCCGATTCCGAGGGGACCCCGGTTCTGAGGTGACCCCGGTTCCGAGGGTCCCCAGTTCCGAGGGGACCCCGGTTCCGAGGGGACCCCGGTTCCGAGGGGCCCC